CTATGCACACTCATTAACACAACAATAAAGTACAATTGCCGCCCGAACCCGCCCCCCAATGAGGGGGCGTGGACAATTAATGTGACTGACACACATGCAGATTTTGCCGCCGCTCGCGTTGTCATATTTGATTTACAGTTGCAATTTACGCACTTTCCGCAGGAGGAGGACCTGGCCAGGACTTGCGGTGCGGGGTGTTGGGTGCGGGGTGCGGGGGAGGAGCTCTGGCGCTGGCCGACAGCTGTCCACGTCAGCATCCGGCTTCTGTTTGATGTTGTTAATTGATTTTCAAAGTCAACTGCCGTCTGAGGGGTGGGGCAGGAAGAGGGGTAGGGAGGGGGGACAGGCGAGGACGGAGGTCCTGCGGGAGGAGCAGGACTGCTTTCGCTTTCGGCACGCTCGGAGATTAGCAGGGCAGTGTAAAATGCATCTCCATTGAGGCGCAAGCGACATAAAACCAATTCCCAATCCGCATTCGCTGGACAATTTACAGACTGTGGAGCCCAGACCCCCGTCCCCCCGTCCCCCACTCCCCCTGCGTGATGTGCATTGTAAGTGCAGTGGAGCGCATTTGCAGCTGCAATTGCCGAGTGGATTTCGGAGTTGTTCCTGCGTCCCAGTGCTTGTGGGAGGGCGATTGTGGGCGATCCGCCGGACTAAAGGGCTCGTGTTTGTTTTATGTGTGGCAATTGTCCAGCGTCCCGTCGACATCCGACTGTATCTGTTGTCTGCCTGGCGTGCGGTTCAATCAAAGCGATTTTCAATGTCCACAAAATTTCGCAAAAGGACATTTTGGTAATTTCAACGATGTCACCCCTCCAAACCAGGAGCGGATTGACTGCGTTGAGGTTTTCAGCTCCATTAAAGTTGGTCTTTACTTGTTTACAAAACTATTTCGTTTTTGACCGAAAGTACACTTGACGATATTGTCAAAAGAATATGTTATACTCTTTATTAATTATCTGTTACAAAAAAACCAATATTAAAAAAACCAATAATTTATTATTAGAAAAAATGTAAATAAATTTGTTAAGTAGGCCTACATTTCATTTATTTATGCAAAAATTTATTAAAGAATAGTTTACAAGCCCTTCTTTTTCTCTTCCATTTCAGTGGGTTCATGTACATATTCGTCCATTTATAAGGTTGTGCAACTTAATGTAGTTTTTTGCCTCCAATAGCATGATATTGGTTTTTTTTTTATCATCCAAGTCGTCTCTGTACGATCTTGTATTTACAAATTCTACAATTTATTAAAAATGTTTTTTTTTTATTTATATATCTTACTAGAGGTCCTGTGTCCGCTTCGCTGGTCAACACAATTTAACAACATAAAAGTCAATATTGCAACATTTTTCAAATATATGGAAGTATAGAAAGATGGTGATTTAACACCTTTCCAGTTTGACTTTTCCACTTGCGCAGCACAATCCAGCCGTTTCTCTTTTAAACTTTAACGCACTGCAATATCGGTATATAGTCGCCATTGGTCCAATATCTAAATTTTCATTATCACTGTAGTTCGCAGTGGGGTCATATTGGAATGCAATGCGATTGAATGATGCCAATGATCTCCATGTGCTCATTTGTCTTTCTTCGCTTAAGTTTTGTGAATATACTGGCTGCTGGCTTGGATGTCTGCGGCCAATGCTTGCACGTCGTCCTCTAAGCATTTTGGACTATGGACAGAGTGGTGAATTTATCCTCAAATGCACGATCCACATAATTTTCACAGTTCAACTTAAATTGAATAAAAATTCTTTTTTTTCACAATTTCACAGTGAACACAAAAATTGAGTTAAAATGCTATGGGAGCGTGTTTGTCAGTGTGATGAGGTAGCAACTCACTTTATATGCGACAATATTGCAATTTTCTTACGGATCCCTAATTTTTTTCAAAATAAATTATAGCCTATTTAACTCCACGATAATATAGCTTTCTATCGGCGAAAGAATTTTTTAAATCGGACCAGTAGTTCCGGAGCCTATTCCCTGCAAACAAACAAACAAACAAACAAACAAACAAACAAACAAACAAACAAACAAATTTTACCTCTTTATAATATTAGTATAGATTAAATAAATTTTCGTTCATTACAAGGTTGGCGAATTTATAACACAGGCTATAAAGTTTTTTGACTGAATAGTTGGTGAGGCGCCCAATAACCCTGTCTGTGTCAATCCTCCACTGGTCGCTAGTACTGCGCTTGTTGTTGGTAATGAGTTTGGTTTTACTGTTTAATTTTAAACGTGTTCAGCGGCGGAAGGGGAGCGGGAAAACGGGCCCACCAGCGGTTGGCTACAGTTCTAAAGTGTATTTGCATTTAACGCTAAATGCACTCTGGCAGCGGGGAGATGGAAGGAAACGGGAAAGGAAAGGGGGAAGGGGGAAGGGCAAGGGGAAGTGCGGAAAAGGGAGGATTGGATGGATTCCTGCCTGCGGGAGGGAAAACATGACAGTTGCATTAATTTTGATTGCGTAAATATTTTAAGTGTGCGGATTGCGAGAGCTCTCTCAAAAATGTTTGCCCAAGGCCCATGGAATGGCTAGGTGGCTGAGTTGGGCTGGTCGGAACGGGAGGATTGCGGGGAGCGGCCACGAATTAAGTGATTGCAATTGAGATGAGCTGATTGTAAATCTGGGTGAGCGCAGCTCGCTTTTCCAGCGAGGGCAATGCATATTTAAAGTTTGTTGAAGCACTTGCAGCTAATGGCGAACCTGCGATGCTGCCGCTCAGTTCGATGAACTCCCGAATGGAGTGGGACTCGAGCATTGGTAACTTTTCTAATTAACCCAACAACAACAGCCACTCCACCCCCGTTCTTTGTCCCTCCTGCTGGCTTTCCCCGCCCCAGTTGTTGCTAATTTCAGACGCTAATAAAATGATTCAAGCCACAACTGTTTGAGGGCGAAAATGACACAAAATTTATGAGCACGTAGCTGACATAAAACTTTCGGATGGATATACTCCAGTTGTGCCGCACTGCTGCTCATCCATCGCTGCCGCATGATGTGATAATTTACTTAACAGCCCCTCGTCTCCCAACACGCTCCGGAGACAATTTACAGATGCAAACATCAAATTTTATGATGTCTAGGCCATAATTAATCGAGATTTGCTGGGGAGGTGACTGGGGCTGGGGGCCCATTAAACTCAAGCAGCGTCTTTATGAATATTAACTTAACTTCGCTTCTTTAATCCTTACCCGTCTCATTTTTTTAGAATTATTATTCTATTTTTTCGCCGTTTTTTGATCTTACCAGACCTGTCTGACCTTTGCAGCTCAACTGCAATTAAACCCTAACCACATCTCCAACTCCTCGTCTTCCAACAGCCCCATTACAAGTTTTTCGCTTTCGGTCGACCAACACCGCAAAGTCTGCGGCATGTGGAGAATTTTCCCATAAGACAGCCATTTTGTCCAGCGTATTATTTAAAGGGGCATAGTCGTTTGGCTGAACTTTGGTGCAGGAATATACCCTATCCGAAATAATCCAATTCATTTTCTCAACACACATGTTGGGTTAATTACACAAAAAAAAGAAAATATATATATATAATATATAACATTTATTAAGGTATAATATATTAACTTTATTAATAATTTTTAAGGTAATATTCAGACCAGCTCTCATGTATGGATGCTCGATCTGGGGAAAATGTGCAAATACACATATTAAAAAAATTCAAACTTGTCAAAATAAACTTCTAAAACTATTACTAAATCTACCATACTATACAAGCACTAACTATGTGCACGAAATAGCTGGAGTCCAAACGGTACAACAATATATTTCACGATACAACAATTAGTCAGTAAAATTAGTTAAACTAGCAAATAAGTGTCAGATCAAGGTTTTGTTTCCTAATTTCCCTTGAAAATAATATATGTTGTAAATAACAAACAAATTAAAAATGTAAAATATTTCAGTTGAAAAGCATAGCTTTAGTGCTAAAACTCTGTAAAAACAAAAATTTGTATCAGTAGCTTTAATGAAGTACAATTTTTAAGGAAATAAAGCATACGAAATAAAATAAAATAAATATATTAACTTTAACTCAAAATTATATAAAGTAAAGATAACCCGAAGTATTGAGCATTCTGGCCATTTAAATTTTGCTCTCTTTATTATAACATCTTCAAGCAATTATAAAAATTAATTTAAAGCGTTGAGAAAGGCAGAGAAACTATTAAATTGAGATAAAGGATTTTAAGCCTCTACTGTGATTTTTTAATTTCATTCAAAGGGTATTGAAGAACCGTTGAATACAAGCTCAAAATGTTGTGGCTTTTCTTTCCATTGACTAGACATCATTTGGTAAGGGAGAGGGGATATTCTAAGGGAACAAAGAGCGGAGCTGTCGACTGTTTTGTGGTGATAGCTGAAAATTAATTAAATGTCGCGGCGAATTAAAATAAAAATGTCGAAAGCTGCTTAGGGAGTACTTAAAACTAAATGATAGCCTGACACAGAAGGCATTGGATTATTAGGGGATATTAATAAGCCAAGAATGGACAGACTGAACTTTTCATTAGGCCAACTCTTTTACTGATGTTGGTTTTCTTTTTTTTTTGGTTTGGCGTTCCTGGTTGCAACAACAATAAACTTTATTTTGCTAAGGAGCCTCTGCAATACACAAACTGCAACTTCAGACTTCCGTTTAAAAGTTGCAGTCCATTTCCGATCAAGCTTAGATTCAAGGCTAGAAATTAATTAGTAGTTTACTAAGTCATGCTACCAGTTCGCCATATCTTTACCATCTGATTTGTTTTGTGTCTGCCTTTTGTTGTTTTCCCTTCGCCTTTTGTTAACTGCGATTTATTGGCCAACTTGAAGTCATGCAATTATTTTCTTTTAAAAACACCAATGGGCCACTCTAGACAACAACTTGAAATATGTTTTGAATAACATAATTATTTTAATTAAAAACACAAATGAATTAAAATTTTAAAGACTAGTTTACCGAGTCGAACTGAGTTTATCTATTCTGTTGCAGGTCTCAAGGATCCAAACCTGGACAGGCATACCAGTAAAGGTGAGTTTCGGAGTAGCGCTACTTCCCCCGATCAAAAATTAATTAAGAAGCCACTGGAGATGTAAATAGTCTGTAATGGCTGCAAGCCGAAATTTGTTCTGCTCGCTCAAAGCGACCGAAACAAAGGTCCGACCCACACACTTTCTTCCTCCCCGCCGCTTGCCGCAATAACTATAAATTCCCAGGCCCAGGCAACCACAAGACATCACCAGGCCCTCAAAACATAAACCAAGCGGCTCTTTAAAACGCAATCAAGCTGAAAATTAATTAAAATTTTCAACCGGGATATGAAATTAATGCGCCGTCGAGGGGAAGACGGTCCCCCGAACAAGAACGGGTTGTGCAAGGTAAATCCAAGGTTTAAATTAAAACACACTTGTTACTGTCTTAGAGGCAGCCGTCTCCGTTGGAAGTCGTCGTCTCGATTTCATTAAAAATGTTTTTATGCTCGCATTATCCTTTCACTTTGGCGCTGTGTCTCTTTGACTCCTTCCAGGGAGCAATTTAATTTGGCTATGAAACGCTTGCCGCATCCTTGACACTTTCACTTTCACCCCCTCCCCCTCCGCCGAGCTCGCCAACCCACCTTCCGCCCACCTCCGCCCCCTCAACCCATTCCACTTGAGGCGATGGCTTGTTTTAAGCAGCTTAAGCTTGTCGTTGACATTCGCCCGAGCTGTTTGTGCTGTAAAAGCGCTCATAATTTCACGCCAGGCGAGCACACACGCGTCCTTGTTGGTCCTGGCCTGCTCTTGGCTTCCGCCGGAGCGCTCCCACCTCAGTTTTGCCGGCGCTTGACTTTGCCTCGCAATCACAGTTTTCACGGAGAGGACTCGCCGAGCATATCACTGAAATGCAATAAAGTTGAGTGCGGATTTGCAGAGAGCTCCACTTGGGTCTGTACTTTTTGTTTGGCTGGCCATTCTTCACGTTTCGATCCTGATTCCGATGTCTGCAAAGTGAATCAGGGAGTATCTTGTGTGAGGTTTCAATCGATTCCTGTTGGACTAAGTTTGTCCTCGTACTTTGCCACGGGTTCTAGAGCTCGGGTCATTCCGGTGGCCGTTGTCTTTATTACATTTTGATGAATGCTGCGATTTGACTTTCGGCGGGGCAGAAGCAGCAAAAAATAATACTCATTGCATGCTCGGGGGCCATTGAATGGATTCATTTCGGCGTATTCATATGCTTTTAACAGAATTAGTCTAGCCGGCTAATGTGATAAATGGATGCGGAAGGCAGGAGCTGAAGCCTGGTGAACCCTTCATAATTACACTTGGAGCCCTTGGTCGGAGATGAGCTGCAAGTCATTCCATAGGCAGAAAAACCCGTCTTTTCTGCTTCCCTATGCCAGCATCTCCGTCCCAGGGACTCCCACTTTAATCTCATAAATCACGAGTCAGAAGGAGTCGGCGGAAGATGAGAAAGACGGGAAAGCCAAGGGCAACCGCACATATCATAACATTTAACATATTTCACTTAGGCAAACATTTAATCCGGCATCTTGTCTGGCCCCCAAGTCCTCCGTCCTCCACCTGAACACGGACCTCGTTCTGAATGCAAAAGTGGAGGCTACATTTTCATTTCCGCTGGCGTTTTTATTTCCATTCCATGCTGCACGTTATCAAATAATGAATATCAAATGTAATGCTTATCATTTATTTGCCAACCGAAACCGAAGGGGAGGCTGCCCGTCCCCCCGCCAGGTGGCAACATATTATAATATTTACTTAATTTTCATTTCTAATTCGGTCGCTACGAGGCACATGATACCGGGGGGAGTGGACCAAGACCTTGGCATTGGCAGCCAGTGGCGGGGAAATAGGAAAAACCTGCATAATAAGCGAGTCCCGCAGCCGAACTTTGCTGTTTGGGGGCCCGAAGTCAAGTGATTGGATGGGGTGTTGATTCTTGCAGGTGGCTTAAGCTGCGTCTAAAGCGATAACGCAAAGTATTTGAATTTTTAATATAACGAAATGCGGATCTCGGCGAACAAGTTCCCCACTCCCTCCCCCCAAATTCATCTGCTTCTCGCACAGACGTGGAGAATAAGGCGGCGTGGTGAGTCCCAGATACTCTGATGTATTCAAATACGATTCGTGGCCGCCATTTTCCTGTCACTGGCTGCGAAAACTCACAGCTTTTCCTCGCTCCGCGATTTTCTGGCTAATCTTTGGTCAGCCAACACCCCGCACCCCTCGGACGTCTGTCGCCCTCTTGTCTATTCGCTTTTTGAAATTCCAATTTGAATGCTTCGTGGTTTCTCCCGGACTTTTGGTCGACGGCTTGGGCCGAGGACGTCCTTCCCAGCAGCCAATATTATATTATTCAAGCCATCGCACTTGGCCACCGCCAGCGTTCGTTGTACTTGAAAATCGTAATTAGAATTGGTAATGTATTCAAATTGACTTTCATTTCCGTTTGTTCGTCGGTCGTCGGTTCGTTTGTTTTACTTTTGGCATTCTTCATCAGGATTTTGCGCTTTTCGGCGAGTGACGCGCTTTTCGCAGAAAGATGAGAGGCGCTTCGTCATGATTATGCCCATCGATTCGCACCATCCAATCGCAGGGAAAAGTGATCAACTGGCCAGACAAAGGCACTTTCGATTATCGAAGCGACCGATTCTCCGGCCATATTTCAAAACCTCCGAACGTAAAAGTTTTCCCAAGCAGACAGTGGCGTTGCGGAAGAGCAAAGGAACTGAAACTTTTCGTTGGCAGGCGGAACGCAGCAAAACCGTAAAGAATTCAACTAATAAAAATCAGGCATTCAAGTGCGAAAAAATCGCGAAAAGCACCATCAAATAATGTGCCACTCAAACCGAATCGCCCGACGCCCTCCGCCCACCGAATCGCAGTCGAATCCACCGAAAGACAAATAGAAAAGCGGGAAAAAGTAAAAGGCAAGTTGGGAACAAAATAAAACTATGCTGGCAGCCGGAGTGAAAACTTTGGCCCGAGAAGGCGGCGTGCGGCACCGAGTCCTCCGGTTGGGTGACCCCGGGAAAACCTCGAGCCACGGACGCATCTCTAGCTGCGGGCCAGAGCCGTACGTCATCGGAGAAACTTCGATGGGTTGGCCAGGAGCGCGTGTCTCTCCACTTTCCTCGCGGGCGGGGTCTGCCACATATTTTCGCTGCCACGAAGCGTGCGAGCTATTTTCCCCCATGTGCGGATGTGGCCGCCTCTGTGTCTGCGTGGCGGAAAAGCAATTTTCCTTTGTGTCGTGCACAGGTTTCCAGTTGGCATTGTCTTCCGCCCGCCGCACTGAGCTGGCAAATTTGTTGCAACCGAAATAAACACTTTATTAAATGCATTGGAATAAGCGCAGTGCTCTAGGAGTCCGGGGCGACGAACAAAAGTCCTGCGAGCTCATCCACATGTGGCGGTGGCAGCGAGGGATAAACTTTGAGCCAAGTGAATTTGGTGCTAAGCTCAAGTAAGAGATTCGATGCCGGCAAAAAGTGGATTGCTAATGCACTCGAAGGAGCTTTGGCGGAGGAATCGAAATGGAAGGGGATGGCAGGGATGGTAGCCCGGAGATCCTTCTCAGACCCAAATTCGCCACATAAATATCTCCGCCGAACAGGCAAAGGCCTTTACAGATTATTATTTATTTATTTTCTGTCTTCTTGCATTCTGCTCTTCATTTGCCCCCAGTGCTCGACCTTCCTGCCCCGATAATCGAAGGCAAGAATCAAATTATGCTAGAATTGAGATTGATTTTTTATTCAATTTTAATGCGACAAATGCAGGCAGATAAACAGACGACAGCTCGAAGGACACACATGGCCCGGAGCCCCTGGCCCCCCATCAAGGATCCAAAAGCTCTGCGAAACACGTGGCCCGAATGGGGCGGCGACTGGGAAAAGGGGGAGTGGCCGGGAAATTATAGCGGCGATGGCGCACAAGGGAGTCGCACTGGATTAGGTCGTCCTCCAGGCCAGGTCCTTATGGGGAACTTTTTGAATATTACAGCATAAATCGATTAGCTTCTCTCGGCGTGAGGGTCTCAGTGCTCGTGTGTGGTGTCTGTGCTGTCACTGATTGACACTTGAAGCGTTTTTTCGCTTGCCTCGCCGGCTGCTCCTGTTTGCTGTTTGCTGATGCTGATGTTGATGCTGATGTTGATGTTGGTGCTGCTCCAAGTCCCCGCCAGCTCCACGGCATCACCCGCATCTATTCGCCATTGATATGCGACCTGAGCACTCGACTCCGTGCAACGTCGAGGCCAGGCTTCATCTAATAAGCCCCCGAACATAACTCCACTCACTGGGTTCGCAGCCTCGTCCTCGGCTGGGCAAATTGGCTGGTTGGCTCTTTTATCGGAAGACGACCTCGATTCCCAGCATAAATTGAAAGGAAATTAAACATTGAGTGGGGGAAATGAGCCCTCTTTGAGCTGCAGCGGAAATTGTTATGTGATAATTGGGTATTGCGTTCCGTTCCTATCGATTGCGCAGAACTTAGCCGCAAAGTGGGCCAAAGGTGGATCAACTGTGGGAAGCGAAATCCTCTGGCCTCGCTGTTTGTCCAAGGGATTACCGCTCTTCCTGTTTGGGCACGAAATTACATTTCAATTTGGATCACTTCACATCATCAACGCACCAGGAACTTTCTCCGGCGACCAGTAAACAAATCTGCTGAGCAAACAGCCGAAGCCTTAACCTCTGAACACACTGCAATTAGTGCACGCACTAAACGTGTATTCGCAGGGATAAATATGACAGTTTTGCGAGGGGTGGATCGGCCCGAGTACAAGGTATAATTTAATGGAAATCAAAGCGAAAACGCGTGGAGAATTTAAAAGCGGGCCCGCCGAAAATCGAAAACCTACGTTTTGGAAAATCCAAAGGGGAAGGGGATGGGCGAACCAGGCGATGAGTTATGGGGCAGATGAAATCAATTGTCTTGACAACAGACGCGGCAATCCCATTGTGCAATACCCCGGCGCTTTAAAGCGAAAGAATTTTGCAGCTCTGCGTTGCCTTTTCTTTGTGT